CCTTTACATAACTTAAATACTTATAAAGTACTTGACACGTGAAAATTAGATTAGATTTTGATGAAATTCGTATTATTTAAAAAACCTTACGATTTAGGTATTATAAACCTTGTTAAAACAGACACTTATTTTGTTCAGCGAATACAAAAATGCAATAATATACGGGACATTCCATTTTAAAAAACGCAACTTTGATACCCTTAGAGCTTTTGGGACACCCTGTACATTACAAAAATATTTTTTAAATGTGCACCCGATAGCCATCTGTGGATTCATCAGATAATACTTTGCAAAAAACAAACGGGCTAGCCGCAAACGTCCGTGCCGTATAGCGTGAATAACCCTGTATATGTATTATGACATTCTAAACAATTCACTTTACTCACAAAGATTATTACGCTTATTCAACCTGACAGCCAAGTCTCTAAATATGGAAATACCACCGTCGTAATCACAACATAAAAAACCCCTCCAAGATGCAAACTTAACCATATAATAATCAAGCAGAAAATGAAATTTTACGACCTTGACGTAGAACTTTCCGGCTTTGGGGATATTGAGACAGTAGTGAGAGATCAAACAACAAAAGCAATGAGAATAGCTGGCTGTCTGAATGCCATATGGTGCAATAAGAGTATGGTAACCGACACTAAATCGAGGATCTACAAAACCGTCGTGAGGCCGGTGATAACATGTTCCGCAGAAACTAGGCCAGAAACAACGAAAACTGAAAGACTCCTAGAGACGGCTGAGTTAAAAATGTTTGGTAGAATCACCGGAAAGACACTGCTGGATAGAGAGAGATGCGAGGATATCAGAATAGCCTGTAATGTCAAGAACATCAGTAAATGGGTAGCAAACAGGACGAAGGAATGGAATGAGCACATAAGCAGGACGGACCTCCGCAGACCTGTGAGAATCGCTCGCGACAAATCCGCATTTAGACGAAGAGACGTTGAGCGCCCCAGGAAACGCGGCAGCGTCAAGCAAGTGAACAATAGTTGAACAGTAGAAGAAGTATCTGGCTAAGCTTAGGGAAAATTTCTACTTAAAAACACTGGGGAACCTGCATTAACACACGCCAAGAAATTTATTTTTAAAGTTTTTTCACGTATATACGCTTTGAAATGTTACTTTGAAAAAACTTTACATACATTAACACTTAATGTTATAACTTGAAGTCAAAGTCCCATCCTTCTATCCAATACGCACATTTTTATCCGAAGATTTTCATTCACATCAAACCTATTTCACCAGAAACAAATGTTAGTATTTGTGAACAAGCGAAAGTGACTGTGATATTTTTCTAAATATGCCTTTCAATAAAACAAAATTGTGTTTACTGAATCATATTTTGTTTACCATTTATTCCGTATTATTTAAACACTAATCCATAACCCATATTAAGGAACATCCTTATAGTGAATAAATTAAATAAAAAGTTGGAAAAAATGTTTGTAAATCTCGATCGTGACCCAATACAATTTTCCAGTCAACTTACTTATTTTATTCTATTATAAAACTTATATTTCATTTTTTATCACTAAAATATGTCTGTAAATCTAAGACACCCACCAATCAGCTCAATCAATCAATAAACTAATTTACTTAGTCACTGTATGGTTATGCAACCGTAATTAATTTGAGCTTCAACAATGTTTCAAATTAATAAGTTTCAATAAATAAATAAATTATCAAACATTTTCATCAATGTTTACTAGAAGGGTGCAACTGGTTAGCAGTATAATAAAGCATAATATCTAATATGCAGAAGTATGTACCATACACCAATAAATTTTAGTTTCCTTGGCAAACAACTTTCCAGTGATTCTAAAAGGTACATAATGTGTCTGGAGGGGTATAATTTTTTCTTAATAGCAAAATCGCCGGGTTAATTGTTATCAATAGGCAACTTAAAACTCTATGAACTCGAAAAACTCGCCCCAGAAAGTTTTGTAGTCATGGATGTGATACTTGAACATATTAGCAAAACACTTTTCAAGAGCGATGTAAAGCATTTAAAATCGTATTAAAAATATATTGACATAGGAAAAGGACGGCATTAAAGTTCCATTATTGAAGCAACATTACGAAAAGTAGTCCACATACAATTGCCATATTTGCTTTGAAAGGATGAAAGTTAAAATTCACTGCTTTCAAAAAATTTATAGAATAGCATTGTTGTAGCACTTATCAAAATTAGATTAAAAAAATAACGGCGTTTTTATTTATGTTTGTCAGTCCATTGCCATGCAATATAGAACATCATCAAATCGCTTCATCTAGATTAAATCCTTATCCATGAGCGTGTCATTAAAACAACTCCACTCAAGTGCAATCATTCTTGGCAGCCGGCCAGGAAGTTCAGCCGTTTCTAAAAAGTGCTAATCCCTCGACAATTCGTATTTATTTCAGTTAGAAAGGCAGGCCATATTTTCAGCTCGAATATAATGTAGTTAAATAATATATTTTGCCGATGAAAACGGGCGCTTCCAATCTACCTTTGTAACATTGAAAATGTTATGTATTTTGATGCCCGGCGTTGAAAAATCGATTAAGATTTAGAATATATTGTTTTCAGTTTTTTAGATCGGCGTTCACTATCACGACAATGTAAATATAGGACCTCATAAATGAGATTAAAAAAAATCAGAATTTGCTTTATTGCCTAAAAAACATTTAGACAAATTTTATGGACACAGCGAAAGAAAAACAAATCATTTATATAGCAAAAGCGTTTTTATTTGAGGTACATTTTTGCTTGTTTCCAAAACTTAGAAGACGTAGGGAGAGATTGAACATGGAATAGAAGAGGATTGTATAATTACTTGGCGTTGTAAATATTTTTTTGATTAATTCAGAAAAGGGTAGGCAGATATCCTGATTTCATTTCCTCATAGGGTACTAAACTAGGTTGCAACTTATCTAGAAAACTGGTTGAATATTTTCGTATCAAACACAGTCTCCCAAATGAATATCACAGGAAGCGAAATCATACGATATTTCGCTTGCTAAGTGGTACTTGCATGAGCTGCACTGTTCAGACGATCAAATGGATGGCAAGTTGCCCTTTTTTGCAACTTAAAAAATCCTTAAAATTGTCCGGTGACTTATATATTTCGTTTTGAAAATAGTCTTTTTAAAAACGATTTTAATCAGGAAGTTTTACAATAAGGTCTTACTGCTATGGATTTTAAACAGAGAATGCTCTACAGACTAGGCTTTCCCATTAGGAAGACACAAAGT